GGCTGTAGCCTGCCAGAATCCCTTTCCATGGGGTTCTCCAGGCAAGAATACTGGGGTGGGTAGCCATTTCCTTCTCCAGGGGATCTTCCCAACCCAGGAATGGAAGCCAGGTCTCCTGCATCGCAGGCGGATTCTTTACCAACCAAGCTACGAGGGAAGCCCAACTACTCCAGTATTCTTGCCTAAAAAACCCCACTGACAGAGAAGCCGGATGGGTTACAGTCCAAAGGGTTGCAAAGAGTCGGACTCACCTGAGCACATACATGAGTGGGTTTAAATACTTCCCTGTTGACTGGCTATGGGATCCTGGGCGATTCCTTTAAATCTGAGTTTCCGCTTCTTCATCTATAAAGTAGATATAATACCAACATCATATTGTTACTCTAAGCATTACGGGTATGGAGGATATCTGTAAAAACATTTTGTGTATCCTGTGACTGTTCTTAATCCAGGTGTATCTGTATCTAAGCCACCTTCCAGAGAGGGGTTTTGGTTTCTTTTGTGTGTCTATTTCACTGAATGTGAGGTAGTGACCAGGACTTTGTAAACAATACAAGTTCCCCTAATTTTGGTTTTTTGTTAAATGTTATACCTCTCTGCCCTCCCCCTGAAAAAGGAAACTGCTTCAAGTTTTCAAAACAGTCACATTTCTCAAAGACAAGCAAATCAGGGATTTGGAATATATTTCCAATTATGATTCACCCAAACTGAGCGAAAGGGCGCTTACTTTGTGTGTTCTGTTTTCTTTTCTGAAAAGAAAAATTATCTGGCTGCACTGCCTGTTTTTATTTATTTTTTAATATTTATTTGGCTAATTAGCCAAACCAATTGGCTAATCCATTTGACAGTGCTAGGTCCTAGCCGCAGCACATGGGATCTAGTTCTATCTCAGTTGCAGCATGTGGGATCTAGTTCCCTGACCAGGGATCGAACCTGGGCTCCCTGCACTGGGAGCGAGGAGTCTTAGCCACTGGACCACCAAGGAAGTCCCCCTTTTTAACTTTTAATTATGGAGAACTTCAAATATCCACATGGGGAAAAAATCCAGCATAGTGTAATAACTACCCCTACCATGAACCCATCACCAGCCATCACCACATTGCCAGACATACAAAATATCTTTCTCTTCCACTTGCCACGTCCCATATTAGTTGTTGCTCAGTTGCTAAGAGTCTGACTCTTCACAACCTCATGGATGGTAGTCTGCCAGGCTCCCCTGTCCTTCACTATTACTTTGAAACAAATTCCAAACATTATTGCATCTGTAATCATTCAGAACATATCTCTTAAAAGTGACATTTTAAATTAACCTTAATGTGAAACCTAAAAAGTTAATAATTCTTTAATATCAAATCTCAACTCAACATTCAAGCTTCCAATGTCTCAAATATCCAGTGTATCTTATTTTTACATTTTTTACATCAGAATACAAAGTATCACAGTCTAGCTGGTCAATATGTCTTTTATAGGTTTCCCTATGTGCAATTTTTATTTGGAACTTATTAAATGAAGAAGCTAAGTTGTCTGTCCTGCAGTTTCTTACAGTCTGGATTTTGCTGACTGCATATCTGAAGCTCAGCTTAACGTTTTTCTCTGTCTTCTGTATTTCCTGTAAATTGACAGTTGGGTCGAGATGTTTAATTGCTTCTTTCTTTTTTAAATATTTATTTGGTTGTGCTGAGTCTTCATATGGCATGAGAGATCTAGTTCCCTGACCAGGGGTTGAACCTGGCCCTCTCACACTGGAAGCTCAGAGTCTTAGCCACTGGACCATCAGGAAAGTCCCTGATTGCTTCTTCCTAATGTTCTCTCTTCAAGTCTACAGGTTCTTTCCTCCGTCTTCTCCATTCTGCTGTTGGGCCCACCCAGTCAAGTCTTAGTTTCAGTTATTTTATTTTTCAGTTCTAAAATTTCCATTGGGTTCTTCTTTATCTCTTCTATTTCTTTGCTGAGACTTCACAGGCTCCAGGCTCCAAGCTCTCAGCTGAATGCGGTCTTTTAACATGTGAACACATGGTCGAGCCTCCAAAGTGGCCCCCGGTGGTCCGTCTCCTGGTCTTTTACATCTGTGTAGCCTCTCCCACTTTCTACAGGGGTTCGTTGGTACCACCAGTAGCATACGGTGGGAGGGATGCTGTATCCTGTCTAAGATTAGGTCATGAAGGACTGTGGCTTCTGTCTTGGGCATTCTCTCTTTTTCGCTCCCATGCACAGATGCTCAGGTCACTGGCTCTGGCAGAAGCAAGCTGCCCTGCAGTCAGGTGGTACCTGAGGCTCTGCTCTGTGCCTTACCAAAAGACGCAGGACAAATTAGACAAGCTTGGGAGCTCCGACTTCTTTACTTGGAAATTGCTTTTGCTCCACCTATTTCCCAGGGTTACGAGTCTCACATAAAATACTTGAAAACATTATATGACTATTAATTTATCTAAACCAACACCTTTAATTAACAGATGAAAACCTGAAACCCAAAGGAATGAGGAGAACTGATAGATGAGGCATGAAGGGAACAGAGAATTTATAGGGGAAAAAAAGGCAGGGCTTCCTTGGTGGTCCAGTGGTGAATTGTCTGACTTGCAATAAAGACAACACGGGTTCAATCCTTGGTCTAGGAAGATTCCCACATGCTGTGGGCCAACTAAGCCGGTGCATCTCGACTAGTGAGGCTGTGTGGTGCAACTATTGAAGCCCGTGTGCCTAGAGCCTCCACAACGAGAGACGCCACTGCAATGAGAAGCCTGTGCAGCGCAGCTAGGGAGTAGCCCCCACTCAACACAACTAAAAGCCCACGTGCAGCAACGAAGACCCAGCACGGCCAAAAATAAACAGTTATTTTTTTAAAAAAAGAAAAGAAAAAGAGGCAGGTCTGGAATCCAGAGCTTGCGACTTCAATCAAGTCCAGTTGTTTTCTCTGCTATTCCTAAGGGGTCACATGCTATTATTATTCAACAGCCACTCCACATTTCAGAGAAACAGAAGATGGATTATGGATTGCACATGGTCAACCAAGAGACTGATATTTCTTCTATGCCACATAACCACTTGAGGGTAGATGTAAGAGGATCAGAGGTTTTTCTTTAGCTTTTACATCACACATTTTTCGGAGCCAGTTACTCCTTCCTCTCTGATTCTCTGCCAGTCATTTCAGTCTGCTGAGTCCAAGCACATGGGCACCCAGCCAGAAGGTGACTAATACCATCTCTTTGCACCCAAACCATGTACAATAGGCAAATAGTTCCTCGTTTAAAAACCCTGCTAGACAAGTTGGTATCAGAATCTTTAAACTACAAATACTCCTTTGTTGTGCAATTTAGCAAAGAATAGTTGAGAGAAAAGAGGCTAACGGCTGGAGCCAACATGGTCAGACTATTTGGGTAAATGTAACTAATCTTAACATAGCTATGCTGCTGCTGCTAAGTCACTTCAGTCGTGTCTGACTCTGTGCGACCCCATAGACGGCAGCCCACCAGTCTCCCCCGTCCTTGGGATTTTCCAGGCAAGAACACTGGAGTGGGTTGCCATTTCCTTCTCCAGTGCGTGAAAGTGAAAAGTGAAAGGGAAGTCACTCAGTCGTGTCCGACTCTTAGCGACCCCATGGACCGCAGCCCACCAGGCTCCTCCGTCCCTGGGATTCTCCAGGCAAGAGTACTGGAGTGGAGTGCCATTACCTTCTCCGATAGCTATGCTAGAGTGGCACAAATATCATTTGTTCTCCATTCTTAGTTTTGTCTGTTTAACTTAAAAATCCAAACTTTATACAATGTCTATCTTGACAGAATGATCAGATCTTCTGAACTTAAATGATAACTAGTCATAGTTTAGTTCTTCACTCTTCATGGGTATCTGTTAAGATTCTTTCAGTTGCAAGCCAGCAGAAACCAAGTGTAGCTACTTGAAAAAAGACAATCTAAGGAATTCCCTAGCAGTCTAGGGGTTAGGACTCAGCACTTTTCACTGCCAGGAGCCATGGGTTCAATCCCTGGTCAGAGAAGTAAGGTCCCGCAAGTCACATGGCATGGCCAAAAATAAAAAAAGACAAATCTATGGGAGGAACAATGGAGAATGTACAGGACCAAAGGGCAGCCTTGGAGAAGCAGGAAGCAGGCATCACTGAGGACACCCATCCCACGGAGGGTAAACTGCTGCTGCTGAAGCAAACACTTGCCAATTCTTTGTTTCTTCTAGGATCAACCCCTGGGTCTCAAAGTCCTCGGAGAGTGAAATTCTGTTTGGCCAAAGATGTACCCAACTAGATGTCCTGAGCTGATTTAAAAAAGAGAGAGGGGGGGAGTTGAGAGGAATCTCCCAGGCCCCCTCCACTTCTGTGTGGGAGAAGAGAACTCTTTGAGGATCCCATCCCACCAACACAGCCCTCAGAAGCTGGCAGAGTCACCCCAGAAGATGAGGATACCGATGGGAACGGGAAAGCCCAGAGTCCACTGAATCACGGATTTGTTCTCACCATTGAATGAGACCACGAGCTGCCTTCCAGTCATATTTCGGAGGGACACCCACACAGCTTCCCTGCCCACCTATCAAGGACCAGTGAGAACATGCTGTGGGCGTGACATTGGGGCGATACTTTAGAGCAAAATATAACTTGATTTCATCTACGCTCACATCAGACAAATCGAGTCCAATCCTGCTTTAAACCACCCGTATCCATTCCCACACCACCTAGCGCTGTGTCTCCAGGCTCTTCCCATCCTCGTCACTCTCCTTGTGACCACTGCCCACACAGCCTTCCCTGCAGAGCATTCTGTATGAACAAGCCTTACCTGATGGGGAAAAGGGTTGGGGATCCACAGTCAAATAAATATAAGAAATACTGGTCAAACCATACCTACGACTCACCCAAGTCTGTCTAGGGAGCTCTAGATCACCCTACTCTGAAGATCTTCTTTGAAGATCCTGAAAGGGAACCGCTAAACCACACGCACTTAGGAGATGGATTCCATGTGGCTTTCGGGCACAAGTGGCTTAATTGCATCTTTGATAGGTGGAGGTGAAAATGTGGAAAATTTTATTAACATTCATTTTAAAAGCCTTACACCTGTGGTATACCAAGGGGAAGGGGTTTTCTTAAAGAAGTGAGTCCTAGGGCCTGGGTCCCGGTTTAGGAGTTGTGCAGCAGTGATATGTGTTTGTTAAGTCCTTTAAGAATTTGTGATCTTGGTCCAGGGCTGGTAAGGCTGTGACAGTTTCTTCTTCCTTCGGGGGAGAAGAGACACCGTTATACCTTCAGGCTCTCAGCACACTATCCCCGCGCGATGGACTCCTTCACATCTTCTGTGGATTTGAATTTGCTCTGAGTCAGCCTTGAGGCTCTCCCAGAGGAGAGATCAAAGGACAGAAGCCTTGAACTATTTCTCCAGATGGACCTTAAATGCAGCTTGTGTGTGTACATCCCATAAAATGTACCATCTTACACCACGAAGCAGACAATTCAGTGGCTTTAGAAGTTCACATTCACAGTAGACAAATCACATTGCTTTGCAACCACCGTCATCTGTCTCCAGAGTGTTATCGTTTCCAATCAAAACTCTGTACCCATTGAACAAGGCAGCATTCCCTTCCCCATCCCAGCCTCTGGCAACCACTATTTGACTTTCTCTCTGTGAATTTGACAACCGCGTGTCCCTCACGTAAGGGGAATCATATAGTATTTGCCCTTTTGTGTCCGGCTTGTTTACAAAAGCAGTTTGCTATACAGAACATTAACCTTACAGTGAGTAAGGATACAACAGGTATAGATAGCTATTACTTCTAGATCAGAAGTCTTTAACTGGGAGCCCTTGTAGTGCTCCTCAAGAACTGTCTCCCCTTTAAAGGATGGGTTTCCTAATTATAAGGTTTTCTTAGGAGCCTTTAACCCAGAAGATGCTAATCACTGCCCCGGGGTCATTTCTCCTCTGAGAGCATCCTCTTGGTCCCAAACTAAAATCAGCTGCCTCTCATTAGGAAGAACCACTAACCTGGTCATATTGATTGTATATATATATATAGCTCTGGATTTTGCTAATGACTCAAGTTCGACACTTAACAGAGTGTAACCCCTAGTCCCATGTTTACCTGGCCACTTAACTTTGATCTCACCTTCCTCAAATGAAAAATATCTAATGCAAAACTACAGAACATCAATGAATCTATGACAAAGGAGGAGACACTATACAACGGGGACAAGACAGCCTCTTCAATAAATGGTGTTGGGAAAACTGGACAGCTACACACCAAAGAATCAAACTGGACAACTTTTTCACACCATGTACAAAAATAAACTCAAAATGGATTAAAGACTTAAAAGACCTGAAACCATAAAATTTCTAGAAGAAAACATAGCATGCTGCTTGACATCAATCTCAGTAATAAGTTTTTTTGATAGGTCTCCTCAGGCAAGGGAAACAAAAGCAAAAATAATAAACAAATGGGACTATAGCAAAAGAAAAAGCTTTCACGGAGCAAAGGGAACAACCAACCAACAAAATGAAAAGGGCTGGCTACTGGATGGGAAAAGATATTTGCAAATGATATGTCTGATATGGGGTTAACATTCAACAAACACAAAAAACTCAAACAACTCAACATTAAAAAAAAAACTTGAATACGAGTGAGTGGAAGACTTGAATAGACTTGTCTTCCCAAACAAGACATACAGATGGACATAGGCACATGAAAAGGTGCTCAACATCTAAGCATCAAGGCAACGCAAGTCAAAACCACAGTGAGATATCACCTTTTATCTGTCACAATGACTAATCAAGAAAACAAAAAGTGTTGGCGAGGATCCGGAGATAAGGGAACCCTTGCGCAGCATTTGTGGGAATGTAAACTGGTGCGGCCACTGTAGAGAACAGAATGGAGGTTCCTCAAAAAAAAAAAAACAATCCACAGCAGAACTACCACATGGTACAGCAATTCCACTCCTGGATATACAGCCAAAGAAAATGAGGGACTGATGCCGAAGCTGAAGCTCCAACACTCTGGCCACCTGATGCGTAGAGCCAACTCATTGGAAAAGACTTTGATGCTGGAAAGATTTGGGGTAGGAGGAGACGGGGGGTGACAGAGGATGAGATGGCTGGATAACATCACCGTCTCAATGGCCATGAACTTGAGCAAACTCTGAGAGAGAGTGGAGGACAGAGGAGACTGGCGTGCTGCAGTCCATGGGGTCACAGAGTCAGACACGACTTAGTGACCGAACAACAATCTGAAAAGATACATGCAGCCTGTGATCACTGCAGCATTATTTATAATAGCCAGGATATGGAAGCAGCCTAAATGCCCATCGATAGTTGAATGGATAGGGAAGATGCAGAACATTACTCAGCCATAAAAAGAACATAATCTTGTCATCTGTGGCAACATGGATGGACCTAGAGGGTACTGTGCTAACTGAAGTTAGACAAACACAAATACTGTATGACCTCACTTATATATGGGATCTACAAAACACACACACCACACAACAGAAACAGTCAGAGGTAGAGAGAGCAAACACGTGATTGCCTGAGGGGAATGAAAGAAATAGACGAAGGAGATTAAGAGGTACAAACTACTAGTTACAATATAAACGAGCCATGGGTATGAAGTATACAGTGTGGGGAACATAGTCAATGACTATGTAACCTCTCTGTAAGGCAACAGATTGGAATTAGACTTTTTCTGATTTCTATACATTTAAAAAGGTATAGGAATATCAAATTGCTATATCGTGTATCAGGTACTAACACAGTGCTGTAGGTTAATTATTCTTCAAAAACAAACAAACTCATAGAAAAAGAGATCAGATTCATGGTAACCAGAGGTGGGAGTGAGGGGGGAGGGGAATTGGATGAAGGTAGTGTTAAGGCATAAACTTCGAGTTATAAGATAAATAATTATAATACATATCAGTCAGTTCAGTTCAGTTCAGTCACTCAGTCATGTCCAACTCTTTGCGACCCCATGAATCGCAGCACACCAGGCCTCCCTGTCCATTACCAACTCTCGGAGTTTACTCAAACTCATGCCCATCGAGTCGGTGATGCCATCCAGCCATCTCATCCTCTGTCATCCCCTTCTCCTCCTGCCCCCAACCCCTCCCAGCATCAGGGTCTTTTCCAATGAGTCAACTCTTCACACGAGGTGGACAAAGTATTGGAGTTTCAGCTTCAGCATCCGTCCTTCCAATGAACAACCAGGACTGATCTCCTTTAGGATGGACTGGTTATATAGATAAGTATAATTAACATGAATAATGTAATTAGCACTGCTGTATGTTATATGTAAAAGTTGTTAAGAGATTAAATCCTAAGAGTTCTCACCACAAGGAAAAAATTGTTTTCTTCTATTTTATATCTCAGATTATGGATGTTCACTAAACTGATTGTGTTAATCATTTCAGGATGTATGTACATCAAATCATTATGCCGGACACCTTAAACTTACACAATTCTCTGTGTCAATTACATCTCAAAACTGGGAGAAAAAAACAATGGGATACTACTTCATACACATTAAAATGGCTATGATAAAAAAAAATACAAAGAAAATAGTTTAACAAAAAAAAACACACAAGAAAGTATAACCAAAAAGAAGAAATTTAAAAACCACAGAAAACAAGTATTGATGAGCATATTAAAAAAAAAAAAGTGAAACTGTGTGTGTTGATGTAAAATAGTACATCCACTATGGATAACAATATGGTGGTTCCTCAAAACTAAAAAAAAAAAAAAACAACAGAATTACCATATGATCCAACAAAGGAGGAATTCCAACATATCTGTACTCCCATATTCATAGAAACATTATTCACAATAGCCAAAAGGATAACCCAAGTGTCCATTCATAGATGACTACATAAAATGCAGCACATCCATACGATGGCATATTATTTAGGCTTAAAGGTGGAAACTTTGATACATTCTACAACATGGATGAACTTTGAGGACATTATGCTAAGTGAAATAAGTCAGTCACAAAAGGGCAAACACTGTAGATTCCTCTTACGAAGTGCTTAGTACTTAAACTCAGAGATGGAATATAAGACGGTGGTTACCAGAGCCTGATGGGGGCAGGGGGATAATAATTGTTTAATGGGGACAGAGTTTCAGTTTGGAAAAGTTCTGGAGATGATCGGTGATGGTGGCCGTACAGCAATGTGAAATGTACTTAATGCCAGTGAACCATACACTTAAACATGATTTAAACAGTCAATTTTATGTTACATATGTTTTACTACAATAAAAAGTCTTTAGAAGTATCTAATGCTATCCTATCATGATTCCCTGCTCCTACAGGAAACTTAGGAGCCTTTATTATAGAGTTCATTCACAAATATCCTATTCTGGAAAGAGACAACTTGTTGCTGCTGTTGTTCAATTGCTAAGTCATGTCTGACTCTTTTGCAACCCCATGGACTGTAGCCCACCAAGCTCCTCGGTCCATGGGATTTTCCAGGCAAGAATATTGGAGAGGACTGCCATTTCCTCCTCCAGGGGATCTTCCTGACCCAGGGATCGAACTCACGCCTCCTACATTGGCAGGTGGCTTCTTTACCACTGAGCCACCAGGGAAGCCCAGAAAGAGACAAAATACAGCTAAAGAGCAAAATGGTTGTTCAAAAGCTGGCCTCCCTTCGTTGTTTGAATTTCTCAGTACAAAGTCACTTTAGCATCATACTCCTTTCCTCTCCCTCCCCCAGAAGAGGCAAGTAGGGAAAAATAACAAAAAACAAGAGTGAGATTCTACACCAGAGGCAGTAGGACAAGTGTCTATGAGATTAAAGGGGTCTAGAAGCTTCCTAGGACCAAGAAGCTGCCACTCAAAGGTGGCCCTGATAATACAGATGGGGAGAAGCTCAGGGCCGAGTCATGAGAGAAGCCTGCCTGTCCATCACCAGCTTCCTAGGAACAGCCCAGGTGATCACCTGCCCAGGAGGTCTGGGCACTTACCTCGGAGAAGTGTCTCTCAATAATGTTCAGCGCAGTCAGGGCGACCTGATGGTTCTCGTGAAGTTGCAGAGCCTCAATTCTATCAAGCCCACCAAGTCCTTCTATCAGCAGACACATGTTTTCCTTCTGAGAAATCTTCTCCGCTGCCTGCAGGCCATATAAGAGTGAGACTCTGGACCGAAGCCCTTAGGACATGGGGCTTTACCTCAGTGGAATCAGACCAAAGCCACCCATTCCAGGCTGGGCAGCTGCAGTGTTATTTTCCCAGATTGAATTAAAACTGCATTGTCTTCCTCTCATTTTGGGGTAACTGTCATCTATCTATTGAGGTTTGTCTTCATTGCACAAAATACAGTATTTCTTTTTTCTGAATATGCCACCATCCATACATAGCTAAACACTATTTGGTAGGTATCCCCTTTGTAATTGGGCTTCTCTGATGGCTCAGATGTAAAGAATCCACCTGCAACGCAGGAGACCTGGGTTTGCTCCCATTGGGAAGATCCCCTGGAAGAGGGCATGGCAACTCACTCCAGTATTGTTGCCTGGAGAATCCCCATGGACAGAGGAGCCTGGCAGGTTACAGTCCATGGGGTCGCAAAGAGTTGGACACAACTGAGCGACTAGGCACACCCCTTCTAATTAATGGAGATTGTTTTCAAAACAGAGAAAAGAACGTTCAAGTGATGCTACATAAACGCAGATGTTCTGGCCCTGTGTTCCCTGGAAAGCCTTGAGAGGTCAGGCAGGAGAGACCCTGGGTAACAGAAGCCACACTATGGCAGCTAGTGAGGTCCCTGGATACAAATGATGGGATTGGATTGAATCCAGTGCTGATCACTGGATTTCTCATCCATGGGCGTTCACTCACTCAACATTTGTATATACACTATGGGCAAGGGCCACAAAACTATAATTAAAGGTGGGATGTAGAGAAAGCCTTTTCACAACTCACACTACCAGGCAAGACAAGAATTGTTACAGTACAGAAAGTTAATATTCTGGGATAAACCATAATGGGAAAGAATACAAAAAAGGGTGTATATACAGGTATATACTGAATCATTTTGCTATACAGCAGAAATGAACACAATGTCAATCAGCTATACTTCAATAAAAAAATAAATTAAAACCAGACAGGACAATAGAGTAAGTGATCAGGGGTTTAAGTTATAGAAGATGTGCAGAAAAGGCTCGGGAAGTACCCGGTTCTTAATGAACAGCACGGTGCCAGGGTCCATCACAGAGTAACGTCATCCCCTAGACAAGGAAGGACAAGGACAAAGTTCTGAGGGAATGAGAGTTGCGTGTTTAGAGGAAAGGAGGAGAAGCAGTGTATGCTCAGTTGTGTCTGATTCTTTGCAACCCCAGGGACTGTATAGCCTGCTAGGCTCCTCTGTCCATAGAATTTTCCAGGCAAGAATACTTGAGGGGGTTGCCATTTCCTTCTCCAAGGGATCTTCTCAACCTAGGGATTGAACCCAAGTCTCTTAGAGGAAAGGAGTAGTTCACCTAAGTAGAATCTTTGAGAGAAGCAGAGAGAGAGAAAGAAACAACTTAATCATCCTGTGGGACTCTGCTGGCTATTATGTGAGCAGTAATACACACACAAACAAAACTTCCTGTGGATCAAATTAAATATTGGGTTAGGCCATAATTTATCTGATGACAGCCTGCACTTTTGTCTAAGTCTTGGTGCTTTCTAGTCCTCTCTACGTCCAGAGTGAGCTCTCGGCTTTGAGTAAAAGAAACAGAGGCAGGAGCCAATGTGCTAGGTTAGTCTCCAAGAAAACTGGGAAGCGGGCAATGACCCAGTGCAGAAGGAGCGCTGGAGAAGAATTCTGGACTTGGGCAGAACTGCAGATGGCCCCCAAGTTACTTCAAAGAACCTCAACCGTACTCTGCTGCCCACCTGAAGCTTCTTCTATCTGATCTTGATAGTGTCCCACGGGCCACCACTGGATACAGGGGCTTCACTGGTCCTCCAGATGGGATGTGCCCAGACTCCTCCCAAGAAAAAGACCCTAAGCATTTAATTCAAATGAATGAGATGAACAGATTTCTGCAGCTCCAAGCACGCTTTCACACATTACGTCCAACTTTTCCTTGTTCTTATTGTTTCTCAGTCACTGAGTCCTGTCCAACTCTTTGTGACCCTAGGGGCTGCAGCACACCAGGCTCCCCTGTTCTTCACTAGCTCTCAGAGTTTGGTCAGATTCATGTCCCGAGTCGGTGATGCTATCTAACCATTTAATCCTCAGCCGTCCCCTTCTCCTTTTGCCTTCGATCTTTCCCAGCATCAGGCCCTTTTTCCAGTGAGTCGGCTTTGCTCCTGTGCCTACCGGCTGCCAAGTCTCTACCCTGTATCCGTGATTTGCTCAAAGTCTTAGTGTCTAATTGGGCTGTTTCCAATCTGTTTCTGACTGGGGTCAGTTCTTTCTGGGACAGTTACATGAAAAGAGTGCTTTAAGTGAGCTTTTTACAGGAGTCCTCTGGTGTTCCTTTGAAACTTTTCAATGGCTTAGTCACATTAAAAAAAGACCTTCACCAAATGGATAAAGCCAGACTCCAAGATGGCCTGAGATGATCCCTGCCTCCGGGATATTCATTCCCTTGAGTAGCCCCTCCCATGCTGAAATGGGGTCATCTGTGTAACCAATAGGATGTCATTGAAATGACCTCCTTCCTAAGTCATATGAGACATCGGGGTTTCCACCTTGCTAGAAGGTGGAAGATAGCTTGCTGCAGGGGAAGTTAGCAGCCATGACGGAAGGGCACTCAAGCAGTCCCAGGCAATCCATGAGGTAAGAAGAGCTTTCTAGGCAGGTGAGTGAGTCTTCGTGGAAGCTGATCCCTCAGCCTCCATCAAGCCTTCAGATGAGACTGCACCCCAGTTTCCATCTTGAACTTCTAAGACCCTGGGCCAGAACCATCTCCCTCAGATCTAAGCTGCCTCAGATCCCTAAACCCAGAAACTGGGTGAGGCAATGTTTAAGCCACTAAAGGGGTAATTAGTTGTTCAGTATAAAACTGACACAGATAGTATGTAAATATTGGCTTAACTCACCTTTATTTCAGAAATGAGACTTCTCTAGAACTATCTCAAGGCTTTGTCATCCATTTCCCCAGCCACACAGCTAAATGGAAAGGAACTGGGAAGTGGGAACTCTGGTATGGTCCCTCAAGGTCTATCCTTGCTCACGTCCTGCTGCTTCCTCCAAGTATATTCTGTTTCATCTTCCAGAAGAGCCAGCCATCTGACTCACTGACTGCTTCTTCCTTGCTTCAAACCTTTGGTTAGTTTCTCTGTCTCACCCAGACTAAGTCCACGTTCTCACAGACCGTCTGTGCTCCGGCCCCTGGATATCACGAGCCTGTCTCCCAGGAGCTTCCACCCTTTGCTCTTCTCTGGCCACCACCCCCAGCCTTGCTTTTTAAGGCCTCCTTCGCTTAGAGACCACTTTCCCAGTTGCCCACAAGACTCACTCACTTCTTTCAGGCCTTTACTCAAACGACCGTCCTCAGTGAAGTTTCTCCAAACTATTGCATCGAAGAGATCACCACGCCCTCCCCACTCTGGGCCATCAGCAACTACCCCTCCATCAGATATATTCTACCAGCAACTCTCTACTCGATACGTCTGCTCCTCTCCCCGTTAATACATGAACTCTACGGGACAAGGACTTTGCCTTCCCGTTTCCCGAGCATCTAAAACAATGCAGGCCACCCAGACACTTTTGTGAGGAAATGAAGATGGTGGACCTTCATTGAAAGGCCTCTTGGCTTGCTATCCATCGGATGTGTGGACAGAGGGCGGGGGGAGTGTGGAAGCAGAGAGTTAGATTTTTAGGACCAAATGAAATGTCTTCATGTAGAGACCGTTATTTAGAAACCAACCTGCTCAGAACAGCTCACCTGGAGGATGAAAAAGAGGACATCGAGGATGATGATCACGATTTTGTTGTCTGGGATGGTGAGGAGATTTATCAGTGGCTCCAAGACTCCAGCCTGGACGAGCTGGATCAACTGGTCCACAGAGCCCCCAGTTGTGAAGTTAGCCACTGTCCAGACAGCCTCTTTCTGGACTTTAAACTCTCCCTGCACAAAGAGAACATTTCCATTCTTTACAGATTCTGAAGAATTTAAATACAGGGATGCAGATGTAGTTCAATTCCTAGGGAATTGGGCTACCTATTCCTGGGACTTGATGTGCAATTTACACAGAGTCCCTTGGTAACCTGCCTTTAGCTTTTGAACAGAAGACAGCATCTTTGAGAAGCCAAGAATGAGGTAAGGCAGACTCGTGTAGGGTCTTCGAGGAAGGTTCTACATTCAGACAGACTCATTTCCTTGAGTCAGGTTATAGGAAAAAGAGAACCTATATCAACCAATACAGGTAAGCAGTACAGATTAGGAATGACACGTGGGGTTTTAAGATTATAGTGACCCACGTCTACATTTCTAGTCTTTCTGCCCCAGCAAAACTTTGGACAAGAAGCTCCAGAGCTGAGCACCCCACTTGGTGGGGACACAGGAAAGCCACTGAAATCTCACTCAATGCCACACTTACATTTATGAAAAGCACTTGGGGGCTTCCCTGGTGGCTCAGGGAAAGAACCTGCCTGCCAAGGCAGGAGACACAGGTTTGATCCCTAGTCTGGGAGGACTCTAAGAGTCGAGGAGCGCTAAACCTGAGCCTGTGAGCTGCAGCTACTGAACTCCATGAACCCTGGAGCCTGTGCTCTGCAAAAACAACACAATGAGAACACCACAAGGAGAAACCCTCGCGCTGCAGCTGAAGAGTGGGCCCGCTCGCCGCAACCAGCGTCGACCCATGCAGCAACACAGACTCAGCAGAGAGAAATTAAAGGGAAGCACTTGGCTCAGAGAGATGGAGCTCATTTATCAGGGATCCTTCTATCCATTTGCAGGAGGAGCTATTCCCACTTTATGGCTGGGGGAAACTGTGACCTCCGTTTAAAACAAAGCAAAAAGAAAGATATGATGCATTTTAGAAATGAAGGACATGTTAGTTGTTGCCAGAACTTAGAGATCAAGGTAGGGTGTGAGGAAATAAGTGGGTTTTAAAAGATCAACAGAAGGCATCTTTGTTGTGTTGTAATTTCTTAGTGTGTTGATGAAGGCAGTGGATAAAGAACATACAGGGGTGATAAAATTCCTCTGAATTTAACACACACTCATACAAATGAGAGTAAGTAAGATGGGAAATCTAAATAATGTCAGTGGTTTGTATGAAGGTGAATATCCTAGTTGTGATACTATACTATAGTTTTGCAAAATGTTACCATGTTGGAAACTCCTGCAAACATGAGGGATCTCTCTTTATAATTTGTTACTAATGCATGTGAATCTATGTTTATCTCAATGAAAATTTCAATAAAAATAATTTAATAAACCTGTCAAAAAATAAAATAAATAAAGCAAAGCAAAAAGAAAAAAAAAACCCACTAAAATAACATATGGCTGCAAGCAAGTTAGAGTTCAAAAGGCACGGTGTGAAAAAAAGACCACTCCTTGATTTCCAACAAGATGCTTCTGATTAGAATACGTACAGACTCTGGGTAGGACGCACGATAGGAAGCATCTGACAGACTGGAAGATGCCATGGTTTGGGGAGCACTCCTGTCTTAGCTTTCCATACCTAATGCACACCTGGGGACCCCCCAGTCAGCCTGAGATGAACCTCCTTCCCCAACCCGAGGTCACCACTCCTGAGCTGTTTCCCAAGTTGATGATTTAAACATAGCTCATCCACTAAAAGTTGACAGAAAGAAATGCTGATGGTAGCAGTTGTCTTGGGGAAAGGAAGTGGGAATCAGGAGGAAGAAGGAAGCTTTAGTGTATTTCTCCTGGTATATCTGGATTTACGCTTTCATTGATGGGATTTTTATACTGAAAAGGCACCCTTTCTTCCGTGTATAACATCACTATAACCCGATATGTTTTTCCTCCTATAACAAAACGAAACCAAATCTCCCATTTTTGCCAAGGAAAGTAGGTGGCACTTTTTTTTTTTTAACACTAGAGATTAGCCAGTATTTACCAGCTCAATATTTTTCTGGATGTTTGAACTGTGGTATCACCTTTTCATTGACTTGTTAAGTCTTCTAAATTTTTAACGGGCTATCCAAAGTGGCAAGCCCGCCTTTTTTTTTCAGGGAGAGTTAGGAAACTAATGTTTTGTAGATTTGTCATGATCTCAATTAATTTTGCTTCTCAGTCTGCATCTGAATTTTGTCAGAGATGCTGCGTGGGCTGCTTACGTTTTTGAGCACGGCCACCAAGGGAGGCAGGGCGCCACAGGTGATGAGCTGCTGGATGTGTTGGCGGGGCCCAGCGGCCACGTTGCTCAGGGCCCAGGCTGCCTCCTTCTGGATGGAGGAGCGGGGATGCGTCAGGAGCTGGGGCAGCACACCCAAGATGCCTGCGTCCAGGGCCAGCTGGGTCTGGTGGTCCGTTCCTGTGACGATGTTGCCCACGGTGCGGAGAGAAGGGGTCTGGGGGACCAAGGTGAGAAGTGTAACCAATATTGCAAATTTGTCATCGTGGAAGATAACCATTGCACCAAACTCCATGCCCTCCCAAACGTCTGTCGTACTGTTCGGCCGGTTTTCCGGAAGCCTGTGAACAATGATTATATCCACGATCCTTTTCCACTCAGGGCATCCGTGGCTGTTTACATAGTTTAAAGGTACTTGTCGGCCTCCCAGTAGTTTCAGCTCAAGTGGGTCAGAGGTCGAGTGATGCATTTACCAAACAGTGCTGTCCTTTTCATGTCCTTATGTCAGGAAAGTTGCTAAATTGATGGTCATCTTTATAATGTAATCATCTCTACTGAATTAGTATTTAGCATAAATATCAAACTTCCTTTGTATATTTAATTGGAGCTAATGAAGTCCCAGTGGCATTTTGGGGGTGTATCCATAAAGGTTCTCTCAGTATCTTTGAAGGTCCCTAGGATGGGTTTATGTTTGGACTCAAGATAACTGTTCTAGGAGGGTCATGGGGGTGTGTGTACGTGCTCAGTAGCTCAGTGGTGTCCGACTCTTTGTGGCCCCCATGGATAATAGCCCACCAGGCTCCTCTGTCCATGGGATTCTCCAGGTAAGAATACTGGAGTGGGTTGCCATTTCCTCCTCCAGGGGATCTTCCCGACCCCGGGATCAAACCCAAGTCTCCTATGGCTCCTGCATTGGCAGGTGGATTCTTTACCACTGAGCAACCTAGAAAGCCCAGGAAGGTCGACTGTGGGTTTATTTTGGTTTCTCTGTACCATAGTGACAGCCCCAGTACAGCCCATCGACAGTTCTAGAATCTTCCTAACCTATCACACTAGGTATCTGCTACTCCAGTGAGAGGTGTAAGTACTGCCATAGGCCAAACACAGCCTTGCCAGTCTGCTGCATTTGGGCCCCAAGCCCTCATGATAAATAACTTCTAGAAGATGTCTTCACACCTTCATGCCCCCAACACCATCCCCAAACTAGCCTTGACTTCTGAGCAATGATATGCTCATCTCTGAATGGATGACCACTAAGATTACATAATATACAATTATAGGCATAGAAATCAAAAGGGGTACCCATGCTTCAAACTACATGTCCAGTAAAGTATATTATGCAAGTGACATATGTCACAGAGTCATGTATTTGATGTTGGCTTTACTTACTTTCCACCTATACCTAACGTAGTCTAAGGGAACCATCTGGGGAGAGGATAAGGGGGAACTTTTATACTAGAGTAAAAAATCAAATGTTATAAGCTTTACATTAAAATGTGCACACACATACCCCAACTTGTTAACATCTACATGCAGAGAACAGTAGAAGGAAAGGCCATAAAAGACTAGCTCACTAGGGACTTTCCTAGCGGTCCGGGGGGTGTGGATTCGATCCCTGGTGGCCAAAGATCCAAAACATAAAACAGAATATTGTAACCAACTCAATAAAGACTTTAACAATGGTCCACTTCAAAAAAAAAAAGAATTCTCAAAACAGAATACTTCACTAGGTGGAGGCAATTTTAATTGGCGCTTCTCTATCTTTTCTAGTTATCAGATTAAGAGAAAGTAAGTCATTGAATACCCCTATGATTTTGGATCAAAGTCTATTCAGATCTTCGGTTACAGAGTAGCAGAGACCAGGGAAACGCAGACGACCAGCTTTGTTCCAGGTAAAGGATGAATACCGACAGGGGGAGACTGGGGGGGTGAGGGAGAAGAGAACCTGCTCGAGTGACGATGACCCGCGAACTCTAACCTGAAGGCCCCTACGGAGACCGACGGGACCCGGGACGCTTACCAAGACGTTGAGTTCCGAGCTGCTCATCAGCTCAACCAGCCTGGGCAGGACCCCGGCGTCCACCACCTGGCCGATGCGCGCGTCGCAGCCATCGGTGAGGTAGGACAGGGCCCAGCAGGTGTCCGAGAGGACCTCCCTGTCCGGGTGCCCCAGGAGGTAGACGAGGGCGGGCAGCATCTGCCTCACCGCGTGGTCAGAGGGGCACGGGTTCTTGTTCCGGCACAGGTTGGACAGGGTCCAGGCGATGTTCCGCAGGAATGGGACCTGTAACGAGGAGACTGCCTCTAGCACTGGGAACGAAGGAGGAAACGTGCCCACGGCAATGTGTCCCGGCCATCCTCGATCAATAGCAGTGATCCGTAGGAACCGAAGCGCTTGAGCTTCAAACAGGAATTTGTTCCAGGCGATAAGCCCTGGAGGGGCGCAGAGAAGGAGCTTTGTTTTTATGTTGTTGTGGTTTGCTTTTTTAAACTAGAGAATAGCCCCCACTTGCTGCAAGTAGAGAAAGCCCTCGCAAAGCAATGAACACCCAGCACAGCCAAGAATAAAAAATTAATTCATTCATAAAAAAGCAAGCAGCTGGCCAGTTTAGACTTGGCTGAACTCTGCTTTGGTTGACCTCGCTCGGCTGGATGATACATGTGTACGCATCATCTAGACAGACAAGCGCAGCTACCTTCCCGGTGTTGCTGCACCGGTGCCGCTCACCGGCTTCAACTTAATACGTACAACTAGGGCCCCAGGTCCTCTCCCCTTTACCCTCCCCACATCTCTAAGAGGAGGGTCCTCTAAACAACCTAAGCTGAAACCTGGGGCCAATCCTCGCTTCTGACTCCCCATTCTGTGCCCATCACAGCAGCAAGCCAGGTCCACGTGCCTCTCCGTCTCCCTCAGCGCTAATCCTATGACAGCAGTCAGGGGGTCTTTCTGGAAGATCAGGTCGCTTCACTTCCTGCCATGACATCCTCCCAAGGCTTCCTTTTTCCCCCAGACTGATGTCTAAGTCCCTCGCCCCACCTGCCATCCATCTTACACTGCTCTCTGCTTGCAAGCTTCCTTTGTCATGCCAGCCTTTTTCCAGTTCAACTGTATCAGGTTCTCTCTCACCTTGAGGGCAGGGCATGTAGTCCCTTATTTTTTTAATAGACTTATTTCTCTCTATTTGGCCATACCGGGTCGTAGTTGCTGCAGGTGAGATCTTTATTGCAGCACGTGGGCTCCAGTTCCCCAAACAGGGATCAAACCCAGGTACCCTGCATTGGGAACGATGAGTCTTAACCACTGGACCACCACGGAAGTCCCTCCCTTGACACTCAGAAGCAGCCTTCTCATTTTTAAGGCAAATCTAGAACCTGAATTTCATTCCTAACCCAGGGAGTCCTCTACTATTGCCACAACAATCCACTTGGACCCTAAGCTTCGAACCTAGACCCTATTTTATTACCCAGGAACAGTACCGGTGAGCCACTAATTCTTTCTGTGCCCCTTGAACAGAGAGCTTAGTCATCTACTTTTGCAGGATTGTAAGTTTAGAAAAACTTCCAGTGGATCTCTTCCAACCTCCACCCCTACTCCAAAGATCAGCATTACCATCCTTGAGGACAAATGTGAATCAGCGTCTCCTCAAAGTGATACCCAGTCCACGGCCTTACTCATCATTGCTGTTGAAGGGGCAGGGCAGACCACATGGCCTAGCATTGGTTTGGAAGCACATTCCCCATTTCCCAACTAAGGGGACTTGTGTACTGAGCTAATCAAAAAAGACACTCAAAAAAGACACTCAACTGGTATGCTTGACGAAACCAGGGTCAACAGATGTGGAATGGCATCACTTGAGATAACATTGTCTCTGAATTCTGGTCCATCACCTACAAATAGATAAGAACACAACACTCTAAGAGGGAACAGAGAGACTCCTGGGGTGGGTGACAAATTCTTCAAAAGGCTCTGTAAAGGGTGAGAAGCCAAAAGTCATTCCTGGGTTGGGCAAGCAGATAGTATAACCATGAACTAGACCCCTGGTTCTCCAACATGTTGGTTGAGTAGATGGTCTGATGTGGAAAACAGCTACCACACAGCAGGGATTGCTAGAAGCATGGTCTCTGGGCCCATCAAGGAGCCAGGCAACCAGACCCGGGGAAGTACGCTGTAAATGCTGGCGGCATTTCACAGCATGGTTCTTGGGAGACAAAGGCCACTAGAGACCAAACTGTCTTCCCAGAAGGCTTTGGCAACTCCCGAATGCAACTGAAAACAAAGTCTGGGAGACAGACAGATGCTAGCCAACAGCGATCTGCCACTCGGGCTAGAAGATCAACTTTAGACCCTAGACACCTCAGCCCTGAAACCATCAGGCAATGCATAAGCTACACTACACTACATCACCTGATTTTGCCTGTTCCTTATTGCACCGAGCAAAACGAGAGATGAAATCTCTGTAATGGATGCTTTACGTCTGTGAGCGTTTTAAAAGCAGACTTATTTTATATTCTGTGTTTGCTAATCCCATCACGCAAAGTCCTTGGAGGTCTAATCACTGTTTGTTTCTGCTGATGCGGTCATGGAGGACTGTTGACTCTGAACTTGAAATTGCTAATATTTGCTTGATCTTAATTTGCCAAAACCCTGAGGGGCCCAGTTGAGTTTTTTCCCCGCAGAGACATCACATTTATATTCAGCCTGGGATCCTGGATTTTCCACCCCTGCAGCCCACATCCCCAGCTTGTGCTTTCTCGGGCCACACAGGGAGAATAGCATCCAGTCCTAAATCTGTGAGGCCGATCTTAGGGTCGTGTTTTCATGGGGAGAGTTTTCCCCTACACTGAGCAAATGTGTGTGTGTGTGTGTGTGTGTGTGTGTGTGTGTGTGTGTGTTCCCTGGGCAGCTTTCACTGAAGGTAGAATTCTTTCACGGTCCTGAGTGATGTAAGGGTCTGTCAGAATATCCCCACCCTGCATGAGCAGTGTCAACAGAGATCTGTCTTTTGTTCCTGAAGCCACTAAGCCCTGAGGCTGTAAGACCCCAGTCTTGGCAGAGGTCCCGAGGCAGCCTGGAGCTTCAGAACACACGTCACCTAGTTTCAGCTTCAGTTTTTGGCCTCTGAACTTGACTCTGAGTTTCGGTAAAGCCCATTCTACTCTTGCCAGCGTTGCCAGGTATTTGTATACTCAGGAGCGTCTGATCTACAGCATGCCCCAAAGAACTCCCCTGGCATGCCACACGCCCGGCCCACTGTTTTCTCAGCCCCCCGGTGGGGAGAGCCTCACCTGCTATGTTCCCGAGGGCCCACACGGCCTGTTCACACACAGTCATGTGAGGGGAAGACAGGAGCTCAACCAGGGGTTGGATGGCACCCCCGTCCACGACGGCGCGAGTCAGCTCCGAGGCCCCTGAAGCAATGTTGGTCAGAGCCCAGGCTGCCTCGAACTGCAAGCGGGGGTGAAGGGATGGCTTCAGGAGCTCCACCAGCCTGGGGATGAGTCCCGCGTCCACAATCAGCTTCAGAGGAGGGTTCTTCTCCCGGGACAGCATTTTCCTTTGCAGTGTGAGAGAAAGAAAGACGAGAGCATATCCTGTGAGTCAGGAAGGGAGAAGCCCCTTTATGGATGTTCTTGGCACTCCTAACTATCCCAATGAGACAAACAGCTGGGCCAGAGCTCTTCCGGATCCTCACACTCAGCCTGTGGCACTTTGCGGGGATGAAGCAGCATTTTTAGTTATTATCGACGAGCCTCCATTTCTGCAGAGACCAATTTAAATGAAGCCATTCATCTCTGACAACACTTGCATATCTTAAGCTGCTCTCAAGGACAGTGTAGAGGAGCAATTGCATCTCACTTTTGGATGGACTTGATTTTTCCTACATCGTGTGGGTGTTCCGCCACTGTCAAGAGACCAAAGAGGCCAGTGGAATCCAGCTAGGAACCCGTCGATGATACAAGTCTGTTTGGTGATACCTGGCTGCTTGGGTGGCCTGGAAACATAGTTCTGGATCCGAAGCATTGACACCACTGATTATGTCTTGCAGGGTGAGGCTGTCCTGTATAAGGAGACCACAGATTCAAGTCAGAGTCTCTGCCAAAAGGAACCATGAAGGTCATCTGGTCTCGCCATCTATCTGATTAGAAGAAGCTGGCTTGAACAGTACATCCCAAGCTGCATGCTGGTCTGTATTAGGAGAGGGAAGAACTCTTGGTGGTCTCATAGGTCTCATGGATTTGTGGGACACTCCCCATGCTCTGGGGGAGAGGTAATTCCTATTATCACTTGGGTCCCCAGAGCCTTTTACTCCCATACAAGCTAGTGGGAAGCTAGTGGGACTTCCCTGGGTGGTCCAGTGGTTAAGAAGCCACTTGCCAGGACAGGAGACATGGGTTTGACCCCTGGAATGGGAAGATCCAGGCTTCCCTGGATCTGCCTGCAATGTAGGAGACCTGGGTTCGATTCCTGGGTTGGGAAGATCCCCTGGAGAAGGGAATGGCAACCCACTCCAGTATTCTTGCCTGGAGAATTCCATGGACAGAGGGGCCTGGCAGGCAACAGTCCATAGGGTCACAAAGGGCAGGGCATGACTGAGCAAACTAACACTTGTACTTTTCTCTTTTTTCCACTTTCAGGAGGATCCCACGTGCCCCGGGGCAGCTAAGCCTGTGCAGCGTGACTACTGAGCCTGCGAGTGCCCTGGAGCGCGTGCTCCACCGGGAGAAGCCCGTGCACCGCGTGCACCGTGGGAGAGCAGCGCCCGCTCCGCCACAACTAGAGAAAGCCCATGCGCCGCAATGAAGGCCCGGTGCAGCCAGAAGAAAGACGTGCTAGGGATGTCAGCAAAAATGGCAGAGTCAGGACCTCAAAATTCTCTTCCATAAAGGCAAAGAGAAACCTGAAAAATACAGTCAACTTTTTTACAACTCTGGAAACTGACCAAAAGTTTGCAGCACTTTGTTTTATTCAAGCTCAGATGGGTTTATTCAAGAAAACTGTCTAACTCCCAGGAAGAACAGAGAGGACTGCAGCATTTTGCCTTGCCTTAACCCCACCCCTCCTCCCCCAGCTCCGTGGGCGCTTTAAAAACCAATAGCCCAGCAGGCACTGGAGGAGGCAGAACAGGTTGGTTCTCCCTTAAAACCTCCTTCCCAGAGAGTTATTATTTGATCCTTCTGGTGGTTTCCTGGGAGATCCCATTTGTAAGATTCTATTTTATTGGGCTCAGACCTCACATAAAGACAAAAGTCTTTTTCCTGGAGGTATTTGTTAAAAACAATTCAAGGAAGTGGTACAAATTCGCAGTTGCTTGGGGTGAGAGGGGGTTAGATAATAGTTGGGGGCAAATAATAGACGAACCACACTTTTTTTTTTTCAGCTGTGCTGCATGACATGTGGGATCTTAGTTTCCTGACCAGGGATCAAACTGGTACCCCTGCAATGGAAGTGTGGAGTCCTAACCACTGGACCACCAGGAAACTCCAAGAGACATACATAAGATTCAGAGACAAAAAAGAGCTGAAAGGAAAGGAACTGAAAACAATATACCATGCAAATAGCAACCAAATGGAGCTGGAGTGGGTACACTAATATGAGACAAAACAACCTTTAAGACAAAAGTTACTAAGGACAAAGAAGGACATCTTATAATAATAAAATTCAATTCATCCATTAATGGATATAATAGTTATAAACACATATTCACCTAACAACAGAGCCCCAAGCTATGCGCAGCAAAAACTGACAAAACTGAAGGGAGAAGTAGAGAATTCAACAATAACAGCTGGAGACTTTGAACCCCACACTCAAGGGATGGAACAACCAGATACACTGTCAACAAGGTAACAGAAGACTTAAACATCACTACAGATCAGACCTGACAGACATCTACACCAATAAACAGAATATAGACTTTTTTTCAAGGGCACATGGAATATTCTCCATGATAGACCATATGTTAGGCCATAAAACATGTCTCAGCAAAGTTGAAAAGACTGAAATCATGCAAAGTATATTCTCCAGCCACAGTGCAAGGAAATTAAAAATAAATAATAGAAAATGTGGGGACTTCCAGGGTCTAGTGGTTTACAGTCCACCTGCCAAGGCAGGACACATGGGTTCCAACCCTGGTCTGGGAATATCCCACGTGCCAGGGAGCAACTAAGCCTCTGCACCAGAACTACCGAAGCCAGCATGCCTAGAGCCTGTGATCTGCAACGGGAGACGCCGCCTCAGTGAGAAGTCAGCGCGCCACTGCGAGGAGCAGCCCCTACTTGCCGCAACTAGAGAAAGTCCAAGCCCAGCAACAAAGACCCAGGGCAGCCAAAAATAAATGCATTAATTGATTTTTTTAAAAGGCATTAACTCTAAGAGAAGAAGGAAATTTGGGACATATAGATTTGTGAAAATTAAACAACACACTCCTAAATAACTGATGGAAAACCACAGGGAAATTAGAAGATAGCTTGAGATGAATGAAACAAACATACGATAAAGCCAAACTGATGAGATGCAAGTAAAGCAGAACTTAAAGGGAAATATGTAGCCATAAATGCAGGTATTATATTGAAAAAGTAGAAAACTCTCAAACCCATGACCTATCTTCATGTTTTAAAATATGAGAAAAGATTTTTAAAAACCCAAAATAATCAGAAAAAATGAAAATATTTTTAAAGAGTGGAAATAAATGAAACAGAACGAGAAAATAGAAAAAAATGAAACAAAAAGTTGGCTCAAAAGAGCAATACAGATGACAAATATTTAGCTAGACAGACCAAGAGAAAAATAGGTAAGACTCAAGTTACTAAAACCAGGAATAAAATTGGGGACGTAACTACTGAATTTACAGAGTTAAACGAAATTAGAGACTCAATTGGAGAAGGCAATGGCACCCCACTCCAGTACCCTTGCCTAGAAAATCCCATGGACGGAGGAGCCTGGTAGGCTGCAGTCCATGGGGTCGCTAAGAGTCGAATACAACTGAACGACTTCACTTTCACTTTTCACTTTCATGCATTGGAGAAGGAAATGGCAACCCACTCCAGTATTCTTGCCTGGAGAATCCCAGGGATGGGGGAGCCTGGTGGGCTGCTGTCTCTGGGGTTGCACAGAGTCAGACACGACTGAAGTGACTTAGCAGCAGCAGCAGCAGAGACTCAATAAATAGAGTACACCACCAAATTAAATGATCTAGATGAAAGGGACAAATTCCAAGAAATCCAAATCCCCAAAGGTGACTAAGAAAATCTGAAGAGACCTATAACAAGAAATTGAGTTACTAATTTTTTTAAATTCCACAAAGAGAAGCCCAGGCACAGAAAGTTTCGCTGGTGAACTTTCACAAACATTTAAAGAAGAAATAACCGTATGGGGCTGAAACTCATCCCAGGATTTGCTTTGAGGGAGGTTGAGACGGATGGAGAATGGAAGAGAGATGACAGCATTCAAGTCTGAAGTAAGACTTGACAAGTCAAGTAACTAGATGCCTCTGCTGAGAGAGACCCCTCATTTCCTGTTTCTGGCTGCATGGAAGCAAGTGAATTTTCAATGAGAAGTAGCACCTTCTCCATCTCCTGTTAGAACATTGATCCCAGACTCACGGCCACAAAGATAACGACACTTAGCTTTCTGACAACATCAGTTTACTTCTAATGACCATCTCTCTACTTCTGTCTTTGAAGGGCCTCAGTTAGAACTTGCAAGTTCTCAATCAAACATTTTAAGGGCAGAGAAACTGACTAAGGATGTATTTTTACACCCAACTGCTCTAGACGCCATGTTCGCGACGTACCCCTTTGGTCTGCTGATCAGCAGGGTCATGTGAGACGCTGGTGATGTTCCTCCTCTTCAAGGCCTGCTCGTCCTTCCTGGCTTTCCGGAGCTCCAGGCTGACCGCAAACCTCTGCTGCCGCCTGGCCTAGTGAGGAAAAGGGGGAACGGGAGCCCTCAGAGCTGGGGGCGGGGGTCAGTAGCCACCACAGCTAGTCCTCAGAACACACCTCAAAGCACCTGATTTCACAGTCACAGACGCAACAGGCTGAGGAACTCAGATCGCACAGCCGGGCAGCAGTCAGCTCGCTTCGCCTCCTTGGCTTCCTCGTCCTCACCACCTCTAGAGAGTCGGTCTTCCTCCCAAAGTGAAGGAAGATTATGCCTGCCCGTTGGCAGGTGTGGAGACATCTGAGCCGGCCATCCCATCGCCCCAAATCTGAGTGCATCTTCACTGGTGCTAATTAGCTCCAGAAAAAGCAGGCCTGGGCCTGCCTGCTGTGGGCACCCAGGGGGGGCAGGGGACTGGAGGGAGCACCGAGACCCCAGACGGCCTCGACCACTTCTGCTGGGTAACAGCCTGTGTTTCATTCAAGCCTTGGGCTAATCCCAAGAGTCTTACTTGGACACCAGAGGAGGAAGAAGATGGAAATTCTAAAAAAATTAAAAAAAAAAAATAAGATGGAAATTCCAAAAAACCAACCAAAAAATAAATTCTTTTCTTCTTTTATCAGGCAAAAGTCGGACTTCACAGTATTGAGAATCCCGGGGAAATGATCTAATCTTTATGGATAGATGAGTTTGGGGTTGAAGGCTTTAAAATATGGATTATAAGGAAGTCAGTGTGTATTAAATACCTGCAGTTCTTTAAAGAAGCTATTTAATCCTTTACTGAAAATAGGGTCAGGGGGAATTCCCTGGTGGTCCAGGGGCTAGGACTCAGCAATTTTACTTTGGGCCCCTGGTTCAGTCCCTGGTCTGGGAGCTAAGAACCCACAAGCCACATGGTGCAGCCAAAAAAAAAGAAAAGAAAATAGGGTCACTGTGGTGTTATCTGGAGAGGCGAGGACACATGGGGGCCTAAGGAGCCGGTTGCTGTGCCGGTCCCATCACTAAGTGGCCCTTCCCCAAAGACGGCTCTGTACCTTCGGCTTCTACCTTCTCATATCCTGACCCTTCCCCCTGCTGTCCACATACAGGGTTCCATTCCTGTGTTCTAACTAGTTCCCTTTAATCTGCGGTGGTCTTGGAAGACAGACAAGCCACATTTGTTGGAAGGGTGTAAGCCAAAGGAAACTGGCTCTGATAGTGTCCTAACTGGGCAACTGTGACCTTGTGCTTTCCTTATCCTCAGCTGCCTTTCAGATTCCCAAGTCATAGCCAACTTGATATGTCAGTCAAGATACATAGATATAGGACATAGAGCTAGACAGGAAACCTGGAGACCAGGGAAGCTGAATGAGGGTTAGATTCACACACAGCACAGACTCCCTGGCCCAGGCCTCATGCTCAGCCCAGTAGAGAAAGCAGTCTGGACCTTTCACTCCTGAGTTCTATTTCTTTACGAGGCATGCTTGCCGATACTTGTATTCCCAACATCTCAGCTCCTTGGTGAGCCCCCTTGACAATCAGAACTGCAGGTAAGCATCTATATGCCAGGCACTTGATGCTGCTACCCAGACCCCTGGAGGTAGGTTATCAGCCCTGTTTTATACATGAAGAAACTGATGGTCTGAAGTTTAATAGTTCCAAGACCACATAGAGACCCTAATTTGAGTCTACAGTTGTCCGACAAAGTCCATGAGGCTTGATCCTCCTCACCTTCAATATTTTATTATAAAATTTTCAAACACACAGAAAAGTTAAAAGGATTATTCAATGAACATCCACGCACTTACCCACAATGAACACTCTGAAATACTTGCTTGGTTACCCTATCTTCTCCCACCCTTCACTCTGTCTTTAATGCATTTCAACCATATGCCTTTTCTTTTTTTGTATGAAGTATGTGGGATCTTAGTTCCCCAACCAGGGATCAAACTTGCAATCCCTATAGTGGACGCGTGGAGTCTTAACCACCCGACCACCGCACTCATCCCTGACAGAGTTAAGGCATTCCTTCATACTCACAGATGCATCTTTGCCCCGATACTTAAATTTCCTCAGCCTCTCTTCCGGAGCATCCAAAGTTGGCATGTTGACTGGAAGAAGTAAAGTACCTGTAGGTAGGACAGTTTCAAAGAGATTTTCAGGGCCCAGTATGTGGTTGCTATGTTAAAGCCATCTAGACTCTAAGCCCTCAAAGGACCCGCAGCACAACAGGGAGCAGACTCAGGAAGTCAGCATCCATAGGCATCACACACCAGCTGAGTAGGCAGTGAGCATCATGGCAGTTCAGAGGGGACCAGCCCAGGGCTGCAGGGGTAAGGGAAATGTACTGCTTTTGGGGACAGTTTGGTTTGAACTATATTTTGACAGCTAGGGTAGTCTGGAAGGAAAGCACAGAACCCTTCCATGCGGTGGGGTCCAAGAACTTCTGTAGAGAGTATATGTGCAGGATGCAGAGGAGCCCAAGCAGGCTATGATATGAAGACAGTCTTCTCCTTCCACACAGGCACGTTAGTTTAGGACTTTATTAAACATGACCCACTCCTAATCCTTTGGAAGGCTTCTTCCACCAGGTCCAGCCCATGGTCATCTTTCACCCACACCCTGGCAACTGCATCCACACTCTTCTCCCTGCTTCTACTTCTGCTGTGTTCCAATCTGTTCTTGACACAAAGCCATGCAATCTTTTAAAAAGAAACTGACCATGTAATTTCCCCCACGTTTCCCCCCACCCTCAACTGGATGCCCATTGATCTTAGAAGAAAACTCAGATTCACCAAGATGCCCACCCTACACAAGCTGGCCTCAGCCTCCTTGCCTCAAAAATGCTTCCCTATTTAAGAAGCTAAATATCTTCTCAGTCAGTCTGTTTCACTTTCTCCACAGCTTTTACCATCACCCAGTATTTTCTCATTTGTGCATCTTCCCCTCCAAACTCCCAAGGACAATAGGACCGTGAGTGTCTTAGCTCCGATTCCTCAGCCCCTTCACAATGCATGGCATGTAGTAATACTTGTTGGATGAGAGCAGTGAGCAATAAGCTCACGAAAGGAGTTGGCCCTCCATTAGAGGAGGTTATTCAAATTGAGCCAAGATTGGACTTTCTGCAGGGCAGTATGGAATGACCTTTCTTACAAGTGTGCAGTGAATATCCATCTAAGTATACAGGATGGGCTGGACTACATGATACAAAGAGAAAACTGGATGCAGACAACTAACAGACTCTTCTTGAGAAGAGAACAGCTGGGAATAATTCTGGTGGGAACAACTAATTTAGACATATCAACTTGGATGGGATGGTGTAGACAACTTGGAGAATTCTGTGAGGAGAGAGCCAAGGAAAGAGAAGAGGAATTCTGAGCGAGAACTGAGCAAGAATTGAGCCTTGGTGACACCGGCATTAGGGTCCAAGAGAATGAGGGCTGCTCTGCGTGGCAGTGAAGAAGGAAGAACTGAACTGTGGTGTTGGAGAAGACTCTCGAGAGTCTCTTGGACTGCAAGGAGATCAAACCAGTCCATCCTAAAGGAAATCAACCCTGAATATTCACTGGAAGGACTGATGCTGAAACTGAAGCTGAAATACTTTGGCCACCTGATGCAAAGAGCCAACCCATTAGAAAAGACCTGAATGCTGGGAAAGATTGAAGGCAAAAGGAGAAGGGGGTGGCAGAGCATGAGATGGTTAGATCGCATCACTGACTCAAAGAACATGAATTTGAGCAACTCCAGGAGACAGTGAAGAATAAGGAAGCCTGTTGTGCTGCGGTTCGTGGGGTCGCGAGGAATCAGACACAACCTAGAGACTGAACGCACACACACATATATACAACTGAATCACTTTGCTGTACATCTGAAACTAACACAACATTGTGAATCGACTATATGACAATAAAAGAAATTTTAATGAAGTAACATTAACAGTAAGGGAGAGAGAGAGCCCTCTTTTGCAAGTGGGGAAATCATCTCAGGCACCACTTGCCAAAGTTCTCACAGCCGTTAAGCCTCAGAGCCGGGAATCGGCCCAGGTCTGACTCCTATGTCATGTTTTCGTTCACTAAGCGTTGCAGCCCATAATCTGTAACAAAGTCAGATTAGGAAACATCAAGTCTCCTAACACACCAAGGCACCTGACACATGGGGGAGATATTGGAAAACAGGAAAGCGCAGATTTTAGGCAATGGAAATAGCAGAGGCCACTTCTGAACACTCTGGGTTGCCCCCTCATTGCTGCATCTCGCTGTTAACTGAGCCCCACCAGCTCAGTTTGTGAGACCGTCTGAATGTGCACAAGAGGCTGGCTTGGTACACGGCGATGAAATGCTTTTGCTTATGGGGAAACCCAAGGCAGGGCCTCATTCTAGGACTGTTGCCATGGGAACCATGCATCCTTCTGCCACGTCCCAGAAGGTATGGCTGTAGGCACCTGGGAAGTAGTGGGTTTAAGATGGTCACCACTTTCCTTCAAATTAACTGTCAATGGGGATTCCCTGGCAGGCCAACGGTTAGGACTCCGCAATTTCACTGCTGTGGGTTCAATCCCTGGTGGAGGAACTAGGATCCTGAAAGTTGTGTGGTGCAGCCAAAAAAGAAAGAAAACAAAAATCGAGTGGAAGGCCAATATCAGATGGCATAAGTAGATAAAGGTCGACTTCAGATCAGAGTCCTCCCCTCTCCCCAAAGCAGTTTGAAAGTCACAGATGTGGCCATGCCACCTCATCTGGGGACATTCTGCAAAGCCAGTTGCAGAGCCGATGCTCCTGGTTTCACAAGCTTCTCTCCTCACAGCTCAAACGCGCTTCCTTCCCCTCCCCATGGCTATTTGTAGCACCAGGAGCGCTGGCTACCCCATCATCCTTCGCCAGTAGGATGAGAACACCAAGCTGGAGGCTTTGAATTAGGCACCGAAGTCAAAGTCAGCACCTTTCTTCACCCAGTGTCTAAGTTTGAGATCCAGAGAAAGCCAAACTGGTTACTTAGGCAAACATCATCCATTTGAGGGGCTGATACCCCTCCCCTCAACCTTAGGCCAGCACTGCCGCTTTCCACACAGTATGAGACACCTTCCCTGGATGTCAGGTGGCAAAAGCCCACCCAAGGGACCCTTCTGGGCCATTTTTAATTAATGTCACTGAGTTACTGTCTTTCATTACAGGCCACTTGGTTTTTTCTATCCTTTCCTAGATCTAGTCAAGCTTTGCGGCTGAGCATCTTTCATGAACCCAGAACCGTTTTAAATTAAGATATGTCTCATCACCCCAGGCTTGGCTTCTGCAAGTACAATTTTTCTGATTCTAAATTAACGCATGTTCACAGCTACCGAAATGAAATACTTCAGAAGCACAAAAAGCATTAACTCCCAATAACCCCACTCCTCCCCCAAATTAACCTTTAAAAACCCATACCACCACCCTCTACGCATCCTAGCCGCTCTGCACAAGCCCCAGGGTGCTGATTACAGACACGGTTAGAGACACATTCATTTCTCCACTTCGTCTGTACTGGGGACATCTTTTGATGTGTTCAGATCTACATCACGAACAGCTGCTTCTTCAAACAAATTGGGATTTAAGTGAAAACCATGCATTTGGTTGGAGTGAGTGAGGTTTATTCTCCAGGAAGGACTGAGCAAACCTTGGCTCCAACATCAGCAAACAGGCACCGCTGGGGCTGGAGTGGGGCCCCTGGGGGAGGAAGGGTCTCCAGTTCCAGGGACCACCCCACCTCCGCATTCACTCCAGGCTGGAGGCAGGGAGCCATACAGCCAGGCTTCCCTCCAGGGCCCACCCTGACCAAGATGGGAGGCACGTGTCACAGTAAGAAGGAGGCAGGTGACCAGGCCTTTTTACCCACGACCCACCTCCAAGGCTGCAGAAGGCTTTGTTCCTCAGGTGAAAACTTCCCAGCGGTATTTCCAGGAGAGGAACAGTAGAATACAGGTCTGCAAGCTACCGTGTGGTTGATCCCTGGCAGGCACCCTGCCACCCCCCACCACCTGAGCTCTGCAGGGTGAGCAGCCCCCAACAGTCACCACCCCCTCCCACCCCTTCTGAAAACAAGCCAAGAGCCACTCGGCACAGCGGTCTGCCAACCAAGGCTGAAGTTCGACAGAGAAAGGCCCCGCCTGGGCCTCCTGGGAGCCACTCCTCGGGGCAAACTACCGGCGTGGCAGAGGGCAAAACGCAGCAGCCTCTCCAGGGGCCCCCAAACTGCCTCTAGGGTCCGGGTGCCCTCACGCCCAGAGACAACCCTCCAGTCACCCATCACTCACCTGGTAGGGAGCCGCAGACGCCAGCCTGCCGGTTGGCCTTAAATGCCCTCAGCAGGAGGCACATGTTTGGGGGGGCATTTGGTCCCGCCCCACGGCTGGTTCTTGACCAATGCTGACGGCTCTTGGAATCACGTGGGGCACTTTGTACCGCCCAGTCGCCAGGGCCCCGCCCCAGGCGCTAGCTGAACTGGTCAAGGAGGGAGGTTTGCATCTCCAGGTGATTCTCACGTCCCAACGACCTACAGGTGGGAGGGAGCCTCAGAGGCCCCCCGTACCTTCAGGTGCTACAGCCTTGAAGACCCTCAGACGGCCGATCAAGAGGCGAGGGGCAGGGACATCTACCCCCCGGAAAGGGTTTGCATTCTGGGTGTTTGAGGCTTCTAGGATCTGGCTAGATTGAGTGGCCTCTTCCTGCAATTGGAGGATTAGGTTTAAAGCTGCTGTTGAACAGTTAACGAATGTTTCTTCCCAAGGCAGGCAAGAAGATTGGGAGGTGGTGAGAACAGGTCTGCTTCATACTGAAATGGAAATAGGAACAAAATTTTATGTATTTCTTCAACAAATATTTATTGAGTCCCCACTTGGAAGAAAATGGCAACCCACTCCAGTAGTCTTGCCTGGAAAATACCATGGACAGAGGAACCTGGCAGGCTACAGTCTATGGGGTCACAAAGAGTCTGAAACGACTGAGTGACTAAACAACTGTGTGCCAGACCTGGCTTGCAACAGTGAACAAGATGACCTGGTCCCCAGCCTTCCAGCAGGAGCAGAGATGGGCGCTCCCAGTAGAGTGGGAATAGGACAGCAATTGGGGTGGGGGCAGTCAGGGAGGGCTTCCTGGAAGAGGTGATGCTCCAGCCAAGTCTTCAGGAAAAGACGTTAGTGAGTAAAAAAACTGTGAAAAAAAATCCTCCAGGCAGAGGGACGCGCATCGAACAAGACACTGAGGCAATAAAACTGGTCATGGTTCCCTTGGGAACAGAGGTCATTTGGGATTGCTAGAGGGACACTGGGGTTGGGTGCCAGGGCAAAGATGGCCTGATGTACAGGGGAGGGGCAGAGGGAGCTGTCCTCCCTGGTCCAGGCAAGAGGGGGTTGCACTGTCTGTTGTTGTTTATTCTCTTTTAAGTTGTGTCCGATTCTTTTGCAACCCCATGGACTGTAGAGCCCCAGGCTCCTCTGTCCATGGAATTGTCCAGGCAAGAATACTGAAGTGGGTTGCCATGCCCTCCTCCAGGAGATCTTCCCGACCGAGAGATCAAATCCATGTCGCCTGCATTGGCAGGCAGGTTATTCACCACTGAGCCACCAGGGAAGCCCTTGTACTGTCTGTACAGGATTTAAAATCAATGATCAAATCAATTACGTCTGTTTGCTTTTTGAGCCAGGCATTCCAAACAGTGTCCGTGGACTGTGCCTACCTTGTTACTCACTCTCTGAAGGTGTTTGGATTTCATCCCGAGAGCAGCAGGCAGCCCCTGAAGGCCCCAGCAGGGCTGTGTTCTTTGACTGATTTTTACTTTTTTTTTTTTTAATATTATGAAAAGTTCCAAATTTGTAAATGTGGAGAGAAGGGTACAAATGGATCCTCAGGGACACCCAGGCCCTATAATCACCAATGCCATCTTCTTTCCTCTCCCCCAACCTTTTTTATTATGTATTTATTGATTTTGGTTGGTGTGTTTTAAAGGAAATCATCAGACATCATATCATTTCACCTGTAAATATTCAGAATGAATCTCTGAATCTCTGACAGACAGACTTAAGAGCTAAAACCAGAATATCACAATCATACCTACCAAAAGCAACCATCATTCTTTGAGGGTCAGTTTAGAACTTTAGGCTAGCCTTGGGGGCGAGGAGTAAGAGGAGGACTCTTAATCCAGGAGGGGCTGGAAAAAGGAGGTGTTTGACCTCAGGACCCTGGGGTTTCAGCAGGAGAGGGAAGGCAAGGTTCTGAGTGGGTGAAGCAGGGAATTCAGGTTTAGACCCACACATCCAGATTCCTGGAGAACTGTGAGGTAGGGTGCAGGAAAAGCCAGTCGGCTCAGAGCTGGGACGGGACTTGGTGAGCCGTCGGAGGCAGTGGTGGCTGACAATGACAGAGATGTCAGTTAAAACTGTGGTTTCCACTACTATATTCAAAATATTCAAAATGGATAACCGACAAGGACCTACTGTATAGCACATGGAACTCTACTCAGTGTTATGTGCCAGCCTGGATGGGAGGGGAACTTGGGAGAGAATGGATACATGTATAAGCAGGCTGAATTGCTTCACCGTTCACCTAAACTATCACAATATTGTTAATCGGCTATGCCCCAATACAAAATAAAAAGTTTAAAGTTTGAAAAAAAAAACAACTGTGGTTTCAAACCGAGGTGGATGGTGAGGGATGGTGTCAGAAAAGAAGGGTTTGGGATGACTTACAGGAGGCCTGACCCCCCACGGAATCTAAGGATCCAAGGCCTCCCTGTTCTGCCCAAGGCATTTGAGACAACCCACCTCTGTCCACCTGCACGTGGACCCAGGCCTGGTGGTGACCTTCTCACTTCATCACAGCCATCCCCGCCTTGGCCTGTGCCCCTTCAGGCTTTTACACACACACACACACACACACACACACAGCTGACAGATCCTTTAAACATTTCAGTCGTTACTTAAATGTGTTTGCTGCTCAAACACTCCAGTGCTCCCCAGCATCCCTCCAATTGCCTGTGAGGCCCTTCAGGCTCTGTCTCGCCCCGCCCCCCATCCTTCTAGTTTCACTGCCTCCGCGCTCTGCTCCAGACACCCTGGCCTCCTCCTGGCCCTGCAAACACATCAGGACCGCGCCAGCCTCGGGGCCTTTGCGCCTGCTGTTCCCTGGGCCTCCCTCACTTCCTTCAGGTCTCAGCTTTCAGAGACCACTCCTGGTCACCCTATCTAAAATCAAGTTCAGTCCAGTTCAGTCTCTCAGGCATGTCTGACTCTTTGCAAAGGTCTGTCACTGTTTCCACTGTTTCCCCATCTTTTGCCATGAAGTGATGGGAACGGATGCTGTGATCTTAGTTTTCTGAATGAGCCTCCCCACTAACCCTGCATCCATATTGGACTTCCTTCATCCTGTGGGTCTCCCGGGTAGCACTTGCTAACATCTGAAATACTATATGTTCCTTACTTGTTTATTTTCCATCCCCACCCCTGAAATGGAACAAAAGCTCTACGAGGGCAGGAGTGTTTGTTTGCTCCATCCCCATGGCCAGAAGCGTCATTGCTGGTTGTATCTGCTGAATGCCTAAGCGGGCATACTGGCTTCAGAGCCAGGCTCTCCCCCTGCCCCGTGGTGCTCTGGGTGACCCCTCCATCACCCGGGATGTACCCTGGTGTACCATGGGGCGCGCTCAGTATCCTTCTCCAGCCAAGCGTTGAGCCAGCGTCCTTTGAATAAATCTCATTGCCTTACCACATGGAGCCCACAGTCGCCACCCAGAGGGAAATGGAAAAGCATCAGGAAGATCACTTCGGATGGAAGTTAGTCCTCCAGCGTAGGCCGCTCTATCCTCTCCGACTCCTATTGCCCGAGTCGTGGGAAAGGGCCACACCGTCCACCCAGACTGGGGGCCTGACCTCAGCCTCCCCTTCCACCCCCCTTCCTCCACAGCCCCACCCTCCACTGAGGCCCGCTCTTAGACCCTCCCGACCTCTGCTCGGGGCTGACCCCCAGGGGCCAGCTGCCCACTGTTCTGGAAGCAGGTTCCTACAACACCTTCCCAACCAACTCCTACCTGGATGGGTTTGTTGACCTGTTGGTTTAACCTGCCTTGATGCTGCTAATGGAGGGATTACCAATCCCATTTCACAGAGCAGGAGACTGATGCTGTTGATGTCAACCTGAATGACGATAGGAAGATAGGGTCTGTGTGGCCCCACCTTTGCCCCCGTGCTGGAGTCACACCTGACTCCCCCTTCTTTTATTTCCTTTCATTTCCTTTCATCCCTCCCTCCCTCCCTCCCTTCCTTCCTCCTTCCCTTCCCCTGTTTTCTTATGGTTGTAAAATACCATAACATAAAATTGACCATTTTAACCATTTTTGAGCTTACAGAGAGGCACTAAGTACATTCACATTCTTGTGCAAACGTCCCCACCATCATCACCAGATCTCTTTGCATCTTCCCAAACAGAAACTCTGTACCCTCTGAACACTTACCCCCCCATCCTCCCCCAAGTCCCTGGCCCCACCCTTCTACCTTCTGTCTGTCTGTGTAACCCTTCTGGGTACCTCATATAAGTGGAATCGCACAATGCTTGTCTTCCTGGGACTGGCTTATTTCACTCAGCATGATGTCCTCGAGGTCTGTCCGTACTGTAGCAGAGGTCAGAATTTCCTTCCTTCTGATTTCTTCCTTTAAAACAAGAACACATTTTTCATGCTTTTGTAGCATCATTGACACTGTTATTTATAGTAGCCTCCCAGTGGTGAGGGAAGAGGGGGGAGTATTTACCACTGACTGTGTTTATAATGGCCAACGCAGGGCAGTAGTAAATGCAGACAGATTTCTACTCAGTTTTCATTTTTGTCTTTAAATCCTCTATGGTCAGGGTCCTTCCCACTTGTTATCCACATCCTCGGCCACCTGCTCCACCATCCCCCCAACTCTGTACATCACTGGTTATTTATAAATGCCTGATCAGGTATATTACTAACGTTTAAAGGGTTTCAAGAAAACCCAGAATTGGAGAATTGATGTCAGCATTCCTCAGAGGATACAAGGAAGGTTTTGTCCTTGAGGTCAGTCTTTGGGAATCCACGGCTCCTGATGAATGTAGCTGTCACCCTCCTTGGCTTCTGAGAGTGTGAGCCTGTGTGTCTGTGTATGTCCTGTGTGTCTGTGTGTGTCTCTATGTCTGTGTATCTGTGTGTGTGTCTGTGTTTGCATGTATCTATGTCTCCGTGTCCGTGTCTATGTGTCTGTGTGTGTGTGTATCTTTGGGGCTGTGTCTGTGTGTGTGCACACATGTATCAGGAAGTCTTCAGGTCCTAGAGGGACTTCAGCATCCTAAGGATGCTGATGCAGAATGGCTCATTTCAGATTCCTGGGAGATGCTATCTGACCCAGAACGAGGAGATGAGAAAGAGTGGGGATATTAAGGAAACAAAACTGGTGGGGCAGAAAGACAGAAAAAGGAAACCAATCTGATTGTTTATCAGATCTGAGGTTCGCCAGTAAAGTCGCCTCTACTCAGTATTTATTTCCTAAAAGCATGTTCTGTTTTCTAGGCTGTTCAGCACCGTCCCTCCCAAGTTTCTCATCCACCTGATTGTCCTAAGAATTTGCTTTCCTGGGGTGAGTTTTCTCCTCACTGAGGCCTATGAATAGCAGAAGCACAAACTGTGCCCAGAGTCCAGGGTCCTGGTGCATTTCTCCTGACACCATATGACCTCAGGAGCTGGGCCGTGGATAAGCCTCCTTTGGGAGCAGCTCCTGGGAGCCAAAGCTCCTCCTCCTCTGGGAGCCTGCTCTGTGCTGGCCTCCGTGAGCTGCAGGTGTGAACCCAGCAGGTTCCCTGCTGCTGGGGAACTGAGAACTCCCAGCTGCCATTGTTCAAACACCCAGGTTGTGGGTGTTTGGACCACAGGACCATAGGACCTTTGGTCAACCATTACTGCCCCTGGCGTGACAGCTGGGTAAGATGACATGAGCACCAGCTCAGAGAAGGGAGTGAGGTAGGAATTCAAAGACAGTAGTGTGTGTCCAGCACGCTGCTCCAGCTCCCTGTGATGGCTCTGGTAGGTAGTTAGAATGGAGGTGGCTAGAAGACAAGGAAGGGAGAAGGAAGGGAGAAGCCCACGAAAATAGAACAAAGGAAGGTCAGAGGACCGAGCGGGGACCTCAGGTAGAACAACAGCATTCCTCGCTAGTCCAGTTTACCCAGCGCAGGCCCAGGGGGAGGAAAAATATATAAAAAGAGGAGCCAAAAGGCCGGGACTCTCTCTTCTCTTCTTGTCTTTTGGGTCGGCATGCCCTCACACCTCGAGGATGTATTTTCCTTTTATTCTCTAAATAAAACTGAGCTGTAACACGGAGCTTTAACACTGATCTGTCTGAGAGCTACAACATGGTCTGTCCGAGAGCCGAGAGCTATAACACCGTCTGTCTGACAGCTGTGAGAGGCTGAGGGCTTTAACAACCGTCGCTTCAAATTTTTGTTCTGATGAGACAGAACCAAGGAGATTACACTCCCCTGACAGCTCCAAGGCAGAAACGCTGTCCCCAAAGAGTACAGGAGAATACAGACAAGGGTCACACCAGCCCAGTCTGTGGCCCCAGAGGGAGTGACATAAATACATGTTGAATGGATGGATGGATGAGTGAGTGAATGGATGGATGGATGGTGATAATGGATGGATGGATGAGTGGGTGAATGGATGAATGGATGGATGAGTGAGTGAATGGATGAATGGATGGATGAGTGAGTGAATGGATGAATGGATGGTGATGATGAATAGATGGATGGATGGTGATGATGGATGGATGGTTGGATGGTGATGATGATGGATGGATGGTTGGATGAGTGGGTGAATGGATGAACGGATGGTCATGATGAATGGATGGATGGATGGTGATGATGAATAGATGGATAGATGGTGATGATGATGGATGGATGGATGAGTGGGTGAATGGATGATTGGATGGATGAGTGAGTGAATGGATGAATGGATGGTGATGATGAATGGATGGATGGATGGTGATGATGGATGGATGGTTGGATGGTGATGATGATGGATGGATGGTTGGATGAGTGGGTGAATGGATGAATGGATGGTGATGATGAATGGATGGATGGATGGTGATGATGGATGGATGGTTGGATGGTGATGATGATGGATGGATGGTTGGATGAGTGGGTGAATGGATGAATGGATGGTGATGATGATGGATGGATGGATGGATGGATGAATGGGTGAAGGGATGAACAGATGGTGATGATGAATGGATGGATGGATGGTGATGATGGATGGATGGATGGATGAGTGGGTGAATGGATGAATGGATGATGGATGGGTACATGGATGAATGAGTGAATGGATGGAGGATGGATGGTGATAACAGATGGACAAATAGACAGAGAGATGGTTGGATGGATAGATGAGAGATTGTTCACCTAAACTGAGCTTTGAACCCACCAGTTTTTCAGACACTGGGCTGTGCTTGACCTTGGGAGACTCACAGAAAGCAGAGATTCTCTCCTTTGGAAAACTAAGAATAAATACTTCTTGACAAAGAGGAATGATGCCAGACAGATAAAAAGCGAAAAAGACTTTTAGATGTGTTGAGACAATAAAATGAAAATGGCACAGTAGTGCCAAATGAAACCAAACCAAGGTACAGGTCTAAACACAGGATGAAAAAGAAAGAAACGCAGCTGAAGAAACCTCTGCTCAGCAGCCGTGACCACCATATTTCTGGGATTCCACGGACTTCACAAGTAATTAGGAATTCCCCAGTTGGCTTGGAATCAGAGGGTTTTCAAGCTGGGCTGGTTTTGGAGAACAGGTCCAGCTTGCATCTGCCCCAACGCAGAGCGCTGTGTCAGAGGAGCCGGTCTTGGGCCTCATCTTCCATTTCAGAGCCTGCAAGGACGGTTCCAGCAGTAGCCTGCTCAGGCTCTCCCCTCCTGAGTTGACACTCCGGGATTCCAAGGGGTCTCTGGAGCGAGGAGCTATTTCTGGGCCCAGACTCTGTATGTGTATTTGGCCTTCAAGGAGCACACTGTGAACTTTACTGCACCTGCGGAGGCCTCATCCGGCAACCCTTCTGGGAGGGCACTGCTCCTCCTCCAAGGAACCAAACAGAAACTGGGAATGCAGCTTCTGGAGGTGCCAGGAAGGACCCTCCAACCACCACCCAGAGGCGAAAAAGCCAAAGGGAAACTCCTGAGACACCTCTGATGAACATTCGTTACATTTTTTTACACTAAAGTATAATTTCCAATCCTAAAAAACATCCTCCTCATTGAAAAAAAAGAAAGCTTTAGGCAACACGGATAAGTTTAAAGAGGGTTTAAGGAAAAAATCACCTGAAATCCCACCACCCAGAGCTAATGGGTCCGACCACCTGGCTGACGATCCTTTCAGATAAGCTCTTAGGGCCTCTGTTTACACAGGTGCCATTTTGCAAAAATGGGCTGGAGCTGTTCTATAGCCTTTCTTAAAAAAACAAAAACCAACAGTCCGCTGTCAACCTTGCTCCATGCCAATGAATATGAATTTACATTGTCAGTTTGAAAACCATCCATTGTGCCTTTATCTCTCTTGATTTATAGTTCATAATTAGATTATGAATGAATCCCCTATGAATGGACATGTAGTTATTTCCTGCTTTTCATCCTCACAAGAACATCCCACTAGCAGTCTCCTGCAGAATTTTCCCTTCTGCTCCCTTCTATGGAAAGCTAGCTCAGAGATGCCTGCAAGAAGGAGAGAGGGAGACAGCCAGAAAAAAAGAGAGGAGGAGGGACCTCCCTGTGGTCCAGGGGCTTAGGGGTCTCTCTGGCTCTCAACACAGGGGGCCCGGGTCAGGGAACCAGATCTCATTTGCCACAACTTACATGCCACAACTAAAAGATCCCACATGCCACATCTGAGACCTGGTGCAGCCAAAATGAATGAATGAATAAGGAAATAACTGTGTGCTGTGCTAAGTCGCTTCAGGCATGTCCTATTCTTTGCACTCCCATGCACTGTAGTCTGCCAGGCTCCTCTGTCCATGAGATTCTCCAGCAAGAATACTGGAGTGGGTTGCTGAGCCCTCATCCAGGGGCTCTTCCTGACCAAGGGATTGACCCCGTGTCTCTCACATCTCCTGCATTGGCAGGCAGGTTCTTTACTGCCAGCGCCACCTTAAAGGAGGAGAGAACAGAACGATGGTGTTTGGGCTTCTAAAGAGGTTCTCCGGAGGAGCTGAGGTGGCAGCCTGAGTGGGCAGTGCCTGGGGAGGGGTTGCTCCAGGCCCAAGGTGGGAGGGTGGGGCCAGAGCCTGAGGCTTGACTCAGCTGCCCTTCTCCTGATCAGAAGTTTCCAGAACTTAGATCCCTAGAGGCGTGGGTCCAGCCTGCCCTGGCCCCAACAGCTTAACAATAACCTATATGTCCGAACCGTGTGGAACGCAGAGCCGGGGTGATCAGAGAAGCTGTAATGAGCTGCTCCCAAAGAGGTGGGGATCGGGTTGCTGAGGACATGACTGCCAACACCTGTGGAAATTGGCTGAGGGTCACCAGGCAGGATAAATATATTCCAACTCTGGCCCTACCCCTGCCAGCCCCAGCCCTGAGCCAAGTTCTCAGAACCCATGGCTCCAACACTTGACCTTGCTCAGAGG